TGCCGTTTCCGTGCTGTATCCCGGCCTGAAGCCCGACTGGAGCGGGTCTAGATAGACTGTTTCCTCCAGGTGTCGGGGAAGCTGCCACGCAACCACACTCTCCACAACCTTCGCCACAAAGCGAAGGTTGGAGACCGGACGATAATTAGCTAATACATCTGGGTCCAGGGAAGGCTTCTTAAGGAGGGGCCTCACCACCACTTCCTTCAAGGTTACGGGGAAGACACCCTCCCACAAAGAAGCATTTATAATTCTAAAGTGTTTTATTCTAAAGACAAATAGCAACAGAAAGCAATAGCTAAACCTATTGCATTTGCAAAAGTAGGAGCAATATTGAGTGCAATAGCTGTTCTCATGTTCTCCCAAATTCTTCACACATCATTTCTCAGTCCTCAAATCACCATGTAAAGTTGGCCTACATTATTCTTACATCAGAGTGGAGGCAGTAAAGCAGACTTGTCAAACTCGTGACGTCATGTGACGTCGCGTGATGTATTGGAGCTTTTTCCCCATTGCTGGCAATGTGGGTGCGGTTTTGTCGTGACGCATCCGGCCTGCAGGCCGGCAGTTTGACACCCCTGCAGTAAAGGCTTAGATATGCTGATTTGCTTAAGAGAACATTACATTCTTGGTTGAGCTAAAATGGTTATAGCTGAGATTATTAGTCCTCACTCACTTTGAAGTGAGATGCCAGGAGTAGAACTCCAAATTGCCTGGGACTGATGTGACATGTAGCTGTCTCCTTCTCATCCAGAGGATCAACCTGAAATGGGACATGGTAGAATCATTGAGCCCAGAATAGCCGTAGCCTGGATCAGATTTGTCAGCTTGGTTAAGGTGTGCTTTCCTCATCCTCCCTTCAGTTCCACTTTTCTTTCCTTACCCCTTCTCATTGTTGTTCACAGTTTCCAGAACTACAAGATCACATTTGTGGCGAGGAGTCCAACAAATTTGAAAATGGCCTTGGTGAGTAATCAGCACAGGGAGGAGAAAATACCAGCATATTCTCTAAAATAACTTTCCCCAACTGGACTCCTTCCAGATGTGTGGGATTAAAATTTCCTTCTGGCACACTGGCTAAGAATTTTGTGAGTTTTTGCCCCATTACCTCTAGTGGAAGCTACATAGGGCCAGGTTACCCTTCTGATATGCTTGATCCTCTTTTCGATTAATCAAGTCATCCTTCCGCTTCCAGCTCCATTTTCATCAGAGAAATATTTCCATCATCTGTCCTAGGCTTACTCTGATGGCTTCTTGCAAGCTTTGTCCCTACAAAGATGTCTGCTCTTTATAAGAATCCTAGAAAATTGCAAGAGAGACTTGGAGAAAATATTTTAGGAGACTTTTCATTTCAGGAAGAGTACTGACTAGACATATTGGAGTATCATATGAAGGAGGAACATGCCCTAAAATGTTAGCTGTCACATTAAATATACAATCAAATTTATTTTTTTTTTATTTTTTATTTATTTTTTTATTTAACACTAACTTGTATGCCGCCCTTCTCCCCACGGGACTCAGGGCGGCTCACAGCACATTAAAACAACACAAAAACATTTCCCCTTTAAAAGCCAATTAAAACCAAATATTTATAGCTGTGACATTATTAAAATCTTTAAAAATTTTCCCTATTTAAAATTCACCCTAGGTCAGTCCCGCTTGCTGAAAA